AACTTGAGGAAGTCACAATGTTATCTATGTGAATCAAAAAATTGTTAACCCAATACAGTATATAGAATTGATTAAGATTATCAGTTCAGTGCTATTTCTTGGTTTTAATAGCAGCATGTACCAGCATTAAATTATGTTGACATGGATTGAATTTTGTATTTAATTATGCATTCTGTTTTTTTAATTCCCCTTCCCTGGATTTCCAAGGTCTTTCAAGCCATTAAGTGGCAGCTCTCTCTCCTCGACAAGTAAAATAAAGCCTTCTATAGAGTTTATATACTGTGTGTGCCTGTTTATGTGACAAATTATGGCATGGCTGAACAGGAGGTTTTAATCCAACCTTGCTGAGAAACTTGGCTAGGCAAAACAGGATGGTGTGTTTTATATATAGATGGAATACACCCCGCCTGGCAGGGATGATAGAGTGCTTGTATTAGAATTTCTCATCTTGGCAGACTGTGGGATCTCGGCAACAAATGGGTCATTCCAGAAAACATCCATACCACCCCCACGGAGGAAATAGGAAGTTAACCCCCCTACCCCCTTCGGATGTCCTAATACATTTACTATTATCAGAAACAATTTTCTCTCCCCTCCCCCTCCGGATGGCAGAAATTTCCTCCGTGGGGGGAGTATGGATCTTTTCTGGAATGACCCAATAATGGGATCCCGCCTGGGCCAGATAAAGGTAGAATCATTCATTTTACTGTAAACACTCTATATAGTTAGTTTATATTGCAAGCGGGATCATGCCAAATGTCTAGCCGGGATCATATTTAAAAAGGCCCTAAAAGCAATTTATAATTAAATGGATCTAAATGATTGGATAGATACTGCAGACTCTATAAAAGCAATCTTACAACTGCATAAAACTAGTATTTTTGTACAAGTGCTGACATCTTGTATTCTCATTGCCAGCATACCTATTACAGCCAACTTACAGACAAGGGAAAGCGGCTTAAAATTACTACATGGTGAGTGTGATAATAGAGAATGGATTTTCAATTTTCATTTATATGTACATACTAAGTAGATTTTATCCCAGAACCTTGACTTAGATGATTACCATTAGAATGAGTAGAAGTCGGTGGGAAGCACCAGACGACAGTGGCAAGAACTCGCCCCAAGGCAAATCCTTCCATTCTGCACTCAAAAGTATCAATTATGAATAGTGGATTTTGTTCATTCAACATTGTCTACCAGAAATGTGATAAAAAGGCAATGTGCATGCATCCAAAGCTAGATTGAATTATGATCTATCTTAAAAATGACCATTAACACATTAGGCACCAGCACTCTCCACTTGAGTCTTTACGAGTAAAATTGTCTCGCGTTAGACAGAGTACAATAATCTGGCATTAACCCACTGAGTCGCATTGCGCCCTGATGCGCCCCACTTTATTATTTTACTCTGTCTAACGCCAAACAATTTTACTCGTCAAGGGGAGAGTGCTAGCACTTAATGGGTTAAAGACATTAATAAAATAAGGAAGTATTGCACATAAGGCACAATGCAATTTAATGTGTCACTAGACTGACACATGGCCAGATTAACCCATTAACCACCAGGGGCCGGTTGTACGAAGGCTGGGTAGTGCTATCCACCGGATAATGATTTTCTCAAGTTTTGTTAAATCAGTCGTTGATTGGTGTAACTGGTATTAAAGTTTAGTATTTATACAAGCAAAATGTTTTTTTATACTTCTTATGTCCTTTATATCCGTAGGTTCACAGTTTTTCAAGCATTTTTTCAAAGGTTGAAAAATCACTATCCGGTGGATAGCGCTATCCGGCCTTCGTACAACCGGCCCCAGCACTCTCCCACTCACAAATAAAATTGTCTGGCATTAGACAGGAGTACAATTTATTGTATTTAGGGTGCAATTACTGCAATGCAACTTAATGGGTTAGAATTTGAAATTTTGCCTGTGGGACCATGATTTCTGGGTTAGCATGTACTAGCCAGGAATCACTTGGTCTATGGGTGGAACCATAGTGAATCAAATTTTTCCTACGAAAACAAATAACTAATTTATGTGTAATCATTCATTATGTAGGATCAGATGGAGTTTACAAGGTGATAAGGAATTTTTCAGCAGCAAAATCCTTTAGATGCTTTCTAAAATGTAAGGGTAATGCTTGTTGGTATTTCTGATTTAATTAATATGCTATTGGCTCATTCCAGAAAACGTTCATACATTCATGTATGGTTATGATTTCACCTCAGTTGTATGTGAGAGGAGTGCTGCACTGACAAATGACAGCACTGACAAGTAAAATCATCTGACATTAGATGGAGTAAAACAATAAAGTTGTGGCAAAATGCAGCTTAGGGACCGGTCATTAATAATGGGAGGGGGGTGGTGGGTTAGAAAAGGGGGCGTCTTCAACTATTTTTGCCTGAATTGGGGGCGGCCTCAAACTGAAAAATATGTGACAGTACACTTTTTAATACTTTCCTATTCATTGTCAAAATATTTAATAAAACCTTCCGCATATGCAGTTCACCATAGGAATACAGTAGGAATAAATAACAACCATTTTGAATATTGGTCCCCAGTACTTGTCCCATTACTTATTTACAACAAAAAATGTAACGAACTAAATGTTGGAGGGGGGTGGGTCCTAAGTTTTCTAGATGAAGGTGGGGCGTCTTGAAAATAAAGGTCTTGCGATTGGGAGTGGCTCTAAAAAATGTTCAATATTTGGTATTTATCACCCACAGACCACCTCCCATTATTAATGACCTGTCCCTAAATATGCCATACACCACAAGTTTTGTAGCCGGTGTCCGGCCTAGTGTAATATCCAGTTAACACCCCACAAATTGTTGCGCCCTCCTTAAGTTACTGTAACAAGTTTACAAGAGTCATAGGCGGATTGTTTGGTTAGCCCACTAATTAATGCCCCTGGCTTTATTCTAAAAAAATCTGTTCATTTTGTTTTGCAGGTCTGCGTGGGAATTCAACAGTGCTATAATGTGCAGTGAAAACATTACTTCAGGCAAACTTCTAAGAGTTACAAAGGGACAACAATTTATGGTAAAATGAAAATGAGCATATATAGACAATATACAGTATGGTATATATTTATAATAATATAACTTTTCATGTTTATCTTAATGTTTAATATAACTAAGTTTTGAAGTGACTTGAACTTGAAATCAGGGAATGCAAGACCCAATTCCTTTGATAATGGTATATTTTGAATATGTAGCAAGGTTCAACATTATAATAATTGACAAGATTTAACTTTGGTGAACATGTGTGGTGTGTTTAACTATTAAGTGAATATATTATTTTTAAACCACTTTCTGTGACTGTTTCATTTTAATATGTTAGCTGTTTAATAATTATATTTTTGAGATGTGTAGAATGGATGAGATTTCTACAAGATGTGTAGAATTTACAAATAATTTTACACAAAAAGAAGTGTAGTTCTAGATGCATTTCAGTTGCAGCAATTTACCGTTATTTTTGTGTAGCATTTACACAACCAATGTGTAAAGTGCAATTTTACACAAAATTATGTGTTGCTGTGGATGCATTTTAGTTGTGTAAATTTACCGATATTTTTGTGTAAATTTACCGATATTTTTGTGTAATGTTTACACAATCAATGTGTAAAGTGCAATTTTACACAAAATTATGTGTTGCTGTGGATGCATTTCATTTGTGTAAATTTACCGATATTTTTGTGTATGTTTACACAACCAATGTGTAAATTTACCGATATTTTTTAGTAAATTTACACATATAAATGTGTTGCTGTGGATGCAAATTTTACCGATATTTTTGAGTAAATTTACACATAATTTTTTGCAGTGTACTGGTAATAAAACAGTAAAGCAGTTGTATTTGTTTAGCTTTCGTTTTCCAAGAAATTGGATCCAAGAAATTGGAAAGCACTCAGACTTCTATACTTTTGTTTTCGGTTTTGTCCAGGCTGTATATATGTCCAGGCGTGGAATATATATGGAAATATAACATACCATGCAAAGTTCATTTAAAAACTCTAAAGATATTGATTGTTGTACAGCAATAAAAAAAACGTTAGATAATTTTTAATTTATAAAGTATGTGTGGTTTAAAATTATTCGCCGGACTCATTTATAAATGAGTCCGGCGAATAATTTTAAACCACACATACTTTATAAATTAAAAATTATCTAACGTTTTTTTTATTGCTGTACAACAATCAATATCTTTAGAGTTTTTAAATGAACTTTGCATGGTATGTTATATTTCCATATATATTCCACGCCCTGTTGCGCCTGATTGCAGGCTAGCGAAAGATAAAGCGGTAACAACTGGTTCTGAGTGGAGTTATTCGCGTCAACATCCAGGTGATCTCGTGTTCGTATTTTAGCCAATCAGCGCTCAGAAAGGGTTGTCCGAATAGAAATCCATTTTCATGTATTCAGTCAATTATATCTTTCGTTATTCTTTATGAAACTAGTTGAAATTTTGTAATTATGTTTGCTTATGAGAACTATAGCTCTGACAGAAATATGGAATCGAAATAAAGTATATTACAGGAGATATTCAGTTGTTTTAATCATAAAATGGATTTCTATTTGACAACTAGTGCCAGTACTTTTCCGCGTATCAAGATCATCTGGATTGCAATCCATGCACAGAATCGCTTTTGCGCTAAAGAGTTCTGTTTTTCAGAAGAATTGCCTATTTTTACAGCGCGCCGTTGCAAGGTAAGAAGTTTATACAAATTTTCTTGAAAAGTATATTTGAATTTGAAGGGTGTATTCCAAATATGTATTCATGCGGACTTATTATTATTGTTAGTGTATATTGCTTTGTTTGCGGGAACAAAATGCATATTTCAATGTGTTGCAAATCAATGTAATGTATATCAAAATGCATATTTTAACTGTGTTATAGCTTTTTACTATATGCTTTTGAAACACACCACTGCCAAGCTCCAAAGCACAAACGACTTTCAACCTATAGTAGAACTCCATGGCGTATATATATACTTAATTAATTAAACATGCTTGCTCGTCCCATGCATGCGGGCCAACTAACACTTCGTGTGCCCCAAAAAAGAAAATGACTTTTTAAGTGAGCAAAACCTGTAGTAGTATGAAAAATTCTATGCATGAATACCGACGCAACGTATGCAAGCAAAGGCAATCAGGAGAGATTGGTAATGCACGATACCCGTCCACTTTTTGTTTTAAACACACAATAAAGTAAAGAAATCTTGTCAAAGCAGTTTAAAGTCACAGTTTAGGGATGAAATCTCAAGAATATATCGCCTTATATCAGATACAACAATTGAACAATGCGTTGATTGTGAAGAACGAGGCATTCGTAGATTACATATTTAATGTCTGTGCCGGATGGATATACGCGTGTACTTTTCTATAATGTTGACAAGAACAAAAGCAAAGAAATAAAATCAATGTGGGAATATATTTTACGCACAAGCGATCCGTCGAATAATCTATGCAATAGTATGAAGTTTATTAAAGTAAGGGCGCTTTGACGATAAAGCAATGTCAATGTGGAAAAACTTACTAGTAAAGTGTTATTTTACAAAATTCCACACGATTATTAATTGACATATATTATAAATTGACAAATGAAATCGTAGCAATCAAAGTATACACGACAACCAAAGTACTGCCATTTGGCACTTGTATAAATTGAGGTAAATACTGGTAATAAAACAGTAAAGCAGTTGGATTTGTTTAGCTTTCGTTTTCCAAGAAATTGGATGCAAGAAATTGGAAAGCACTCAGACTTCTATATACTTTTGTTTTCGGTTTTGTCCAGGCTCATGCAAATACCAGTTTACAAGTGTATAAATGAGTCCGGCGAATATTAATTTTTATACCACACAAACTTTATAAAATAAAAATTACCTAACGTTTCGTTGATTGCTGTGCAACAATCAACATCTCCAGAGCTTTGAAATGAACTTTGCATCGTATGTTATATTTGCATATTCCACGCCCTGTTAACAACGCCTGATTGCAGGCTAGCGAAAGATAAAGCGGTAACAACTGGTTCTGAGTGGAATTATTCGCGTCAACATTGCAATCCATGCACAGAATCGCTTTTGCGCGAAAGAGTTCTGTTTTTCAGAAGAATTGCCTATTTTTACAGCGCGCCGTTGTAAGGTAAGAAGTGTATACAAATTTTGTTGAAAAGTGTATTTGAATTTGCTGGGTGTATTCCAAATATGTATTCATGCGCGACTTATATTATATTATTAGTGCACTGCTTTGTTTGCTAGAACAAAATGCATATTTCAATGTATTGGAAATCAATGCAATGTATATCAAAATGCATATCTTAACTGCGTTATAGCTTTTTACTCTATGCTTTTGAAGCACAACACTGCCAAGCGCGCCAAACCAAACGACTTTCAACCTAATACTACTCCATGGCGCATATATATACTTAATTAATTAAACATGCTTGCTCGTCCCATGCGGACCAACTAGCACTTCGTGTGCCCCAAAAAAGAAACTGATGACTTTTGAAACTGATGACTTTTAAAAGGGCAAAAAGTGCAGTAGGATGAAAAATTATATCCATGCATTAACACCGACGCAACGTATGTAAGCAAATGCAATCAGAAGAGATTGCAAGATACCCGTCCAATTTTTGTTTAATTTAAACACAATAAACTAAAGATTGAAATCTTGTCAAAGCAGTTTAAATTAGTCACAGTTTAGGGATGAAATCTCAAGAACATATCGCCTTATTTCAGATACAACAATTGAACAATGCATGCGTTGATTGTGAACAACGAGGCATTCATATAGAATCAGACTAAATCAGTGGCGAAGCTGACGGAATTCGACTAGTCATGCTCTAAGACCCGCACAGGCTAGGGGGGTCCGGGGGCATGCACCCCCGGGAAAATTTTGATTTTCGAAGTCTGGAATGGCCATTTCCTGCGATTTCAGGGTGAAATTCATGCAAAGAAAGCTACAAAAAAGTGTGATATAAAGAGGAAAATGCTTAATACTTTTTGTTTTTGAAATTTGTATTTCCACAAAATTTAATTTTATTTCACTATATATTTAAACTTATCTGCAAATGACGCTCAATATAGCCAATATTGGCAGAAGAAAGAGGAGAATATTGTATGTGTACATTTTAATACCCTGCTGAGTGCTGTATGATCTTTCATTTGGAATTGCGTAGAGGTCAACTGTAATGTACAGTGTCTACAAGGACCTTGTAAATCTGAAGCAGAAACCTAATGTTGAAAGATACTTTGTTTAGATATTTGGTATATCTGTAAACCTCAAAATATATAAGCACTCGTGAATAAAACAAATGAACTGGTAGTAAATATATTTATATCAATAGGAAAGGCCTTCACAAATCTTGTTTATATTCGCCATTATAATACAGTAGAATACACAATCGAGTCTGTTCACATGCATTTCGTGAGCTAAAATATCTTGTTAGAAGCCAGAAGGCCTTCCTACTATTCACTCGATTGACGTTGGTCAATTTCCATAGATACATAACCAAGATCACTTGAATAAATCTCGATAGAATTGCTGAATAATTTACGGCATTTAACTTGGTCGTGCTTTCGAAGATGAGCACGACCAGAAGATAAAATTCGGCGAGATACGCATGCGCGAAGAGCAATTTAGCCAATAGAATGCGTTGGAATTGATCATTTAGTCGTGCTGGCCTGACGAGAGCACGACTAACGGGCGGGTTACCCATTAGTCGTGCTATTAACCTGCGGTCGGGTGAAACTACGCAATCATACCTTGAATTGGTTTAAAATCATGGCAAAATCACCGGATTTGAAGGGATTTCGCACTTAATAGATGACGCAAGTGTACGACGAATCATTTTTAAAATTTTGGGGGAATTTTTTTTTAAGACTAAAAAATTCTTTTCTTTGAAAAAATTTTACTCGTGCTCAGCACGACTAGCACGACCTCTAGCTTCGCCACTATTATAGATTAAATATTTACACCGGATGAATATAGGTGTACTTCACCTAACTAGCAAGAAATAAAATCAATGAGGGAATATATTTTACGCACATGTCCAAATTTGAATTACGGTTTATTGCGAAGAGCCGTCTGTGCAATAGTATGATGTTTATTAAAGCAAGGGGGCTTTGACTATAGCAATGTCAATGTGAAGAAACGTACTATAGTATAGTATTATCATGATTTTACAAAATTCCACATTGATTATTAATTGACATATAGTTATAAATTGACAAAAATTGCACTTGTATAAATCGAGGTATTAAAATACTGGTAATAAAACAGTAAAGCAGTTGTATTTGTTTAGCATTCGTTTTCCAAGAAATTGGATCCAAGAAATTGGAAAGCACTCAGACTTCTATACTTTTGTTTTCGGTTTTGTCCAGGCTGAAATACCAGTTTACAAGTGTATAAATGAGTCCGGCGAATAATTTTTAAACCACACTTTATTTTATAAAATAAAAATTACCTAACGTTTCATTGATTCCTGTACAACAATCAACATCTTTAGAGCTTTGAAATGAACTTTGCATGGTATGTTATATTTGCATATTCCACGCCCTGTTGCGCCTGATTGCAGGCTAGCGAAAGATAAAGCGGTAACAACTGGTTCTGAGTGGAATTATTCGCGTCAACATTGCAATCCATGCACAGAATCGCTTTTGCGCTAAAGAGTTCTGTTTTTCAGAAGAATTGCCTATATTTACAGCGCGCCGTTGCAAGGTAAGAAGTTTATACAAATTTTGTTGAAAAGGATTTGAATTTGAAGGGTGTATTCCAAATATGTATATTCATGCGCGACTTATATTATATTGTTAGTGTATACTGCTTTGTTTGCTGGAACAAAATTCATATTCCAATGTATCGCAAATCACTGTAATGCATGTATATGCATATCTTATGCATATCTTAACTGTGTTATAGCTTTTTACTATATGCTTTTGAACTGACACCACTGCCAAGCGCCAAACCGAAACGACTTTCAAACTAGTGGAACACCATGGCGTAAAAATACTTAATTAATTAAACGGGCCAATTAACTAACACTTCGTGTTCCCCAAAAAAGAAAATGACTTTCATAAAATGAGCAAAACCTGTAGTAGTATGAAAAATTCTATGCATGAATACGGACGCAACATATGCAAGCAAAGGCAATTATAAGGAGAGTTGGCAATGCCTGATACCGTCCACTATTTGTTTAAACACACAATAAAGTAAAGAAATCTTGTCAAAGCAGTCCAAAGTCGCAGTTTATAGGGATGAAATCTCAAGAATATATCGCCATATATATCAGATACCACAATTGAACAATGCGTTGATTGTGAAGAACGAGGCATTCATAGGTTACATATTTGATGTCTATACCGGATGAATATACGTGTACGTCGCCTAACTAGCAAGAAATAAAATTAATATGGGAATATATTTTACGCACACGTCCATTTGAATTACGGTTTATAGCGAAGAACCAGCACTTCTTGTGCCCAAAAAAGAAAATGACTTTTAACATCGATCTCGAGAGATCGATGGCGAGAAATTTTTATATCTTCGGTTCTGTGTATGCTATGAAGACAGAAATACCACCATTCGATTCAGAAATAAAAGATTTAACTAATTCTTCCGTATAGTTTTAGTCATTATCAACATTGTAGCGATTTATGGGCCTTTGAAAGTCAAACACGATCATATTGTATCAAATTACGCAATTGTCTGAACAAAATATAGACTAGCCATACCTTTCGCCGAAAATAACTTCGGCCCCTTCGAACATATCGTCTTTGTAATAGTCTTGTTAGAATCCCCATTAAAAACACTATCTAAAGTGTTATTTGCAAGCCTGTATCTTCAAATCTGTATCTTTTATCAATATATTTTTATTTCTTGCCCGACTGTGAGCTCGAAGTGAGTTAATCCCAACCGGAAATACGACTGAAAATCGTCAAAACAATGCGAAGCTTGTATTGTATGACCCTGCAAAGGCCAGAAATTACGGTGGCCCATAGGGGACATGCTGCAAATAAAATAATTGCAGTCATTTTATTAAAGTTGCAGAAATTATATTATTATTGCAGTAATTATACTATTATTGCAGTCAGTAAAGTAAAGTTGCTGCAAGTTAAATATAAAGTTGCTGCAAGTTAAATATAAAGTTGCTGCAAGTTAAATATAAAGTTGCTGCAAGTTAAATAAAAAGTTGCTGCAAGTTAAATATGAAGTTGCTGCAAGTTAAATATAAAGTTGCTGCAAGTTAAATATAAAGTTGCTGCAAGTTAAATATAAAGTTGCTGCAAGTTAAATATAAAGTTGCTGCAAGTTAAATAAAAGTTGCTGCAAGTTAAATATAAAGTTGCTGCAAGTTAAATATAAAGTTGCTGCAAGTTAAATATAAAGTTGCTGCAAGTTAAATATAAAGTTGCTGCAAGTTAAATAAAAAGTTGCTGCAAGTTAAATATAAAGTTGCTGCAAGTTAAATAAAAAGTTGCTGCAAGTTAAATATAAAGTTGCTGCAAATTAAATATGAAGTTGCTGCAAGTTAAATATAAAGCTGCTGCAAGTTAAATATAAAGTTGCTGCAAGTAAGGTTGCTGCAAGTTAAGAAAAGTTGCTGAAAGCATTTGGGGATTGACGCCATCTTGACTTGACGAACGCCATATCTTGACTCCTTTTGTTTACTGAAGCTTTTATTGCGGATATGTTTTGTACTTCTTGTGGCGTGGTTTGTATCGAAGAAGCAAACTTTTGCCATGAATGTGGTTCTAGAATAAACGTTGTTGTTGATAACTTTGAATATAATAGAGATAACATTGACAATATAATAGAGGAATATTTTTATCATGGTTATCGATATCACGATATTGTAGGCTTGCTTGCAAAACACCATGGAGTTCAGATTCACGTAAGAACACTGAAACGAAAACTAAAAGAGCTTGGCTTAAAGCAACGAGAAACTGATTTTGACGAACAAGCTGTTCGCATGTGCATAGAAAAGGAAATGCAAGACGCTGGTTCGCTTGCGGGTTATCGTTATATCTGGCATGCCTTGCGTTTAAGGCATCACTTAATCGTACCACGCGGAGTAGTATCTGCTATTATGAGAGAGATTGATCCAGATGGAGTCAGGGAGAGGAAGGCGAGACGCCTGCGGAGAAGAACGTATGTTTCATTTGGACCAAATTTTGCCTGGCACATAGATGGTATGTACATACTTAGACAAATATATTAACGCAGTCAATACCAGTGAACTATACAGTATATGTTATATTGATATTTCAGTGGTCAATACACCGTTCCGATAATTATGTCATAAATACTTTTTGAATTTTGGCCTGAAAGCCTCTGCCTTCAAGAATGTTGATCCAATCTCGGCCTGAATCCCCCACGTATTTATTAAGGGAAGCCTCGTATATCGATTTTGTCCATGAGAAACGTCATATGTTCGTTTCTCTGGAGACCCCCCCCCCCCCACCCACCTTAGAAACGTCACATATAATTATCGATATTTTGTTCTTATAGTATACACATATAAGGTAATTTTCTACGGTCGGCTGCTGATATATCTTTTTTAATATTATATATCAACTTCAAAATTTCCAACGTTTCTCAAAACAACTTTTTTTGCATAAAATATTGATAATTTTTAAATAGCGCGTTTTTCTTGAAATTTGAGTGTTTTCAATGAAGGCGTAATAATATAAGTGTATAGGTATAGAACAAGTATACGAATGTATAGACTGGTGTTTGTATCAAATTGTTTTCTTTTTTATATTCTGCAAAGATGATTCCGAAATGTTAAGGATTTCGAAAAAACTATCGAATTTTTCCATGTTTGCAGAGAAACGTCACAGCTGCAAACCCCACCCCCAAACGAACATATGACGTTTCTCGTGGAAAAAATCGATATGTGAGGCTTCCCTAATGAAAGCGATGTTTCCAGGTCAAAAAGTATTTAATTACGACGTAACTATCGTAAGGGTGTGCGATTTTTCCTCCCAAACTTTGGAATGCTTGAATAAATGAGAAGTTTTTGTGAGTCTCTGATTAAAAACATTTGTTAATTGCTTTCAGGTTACGATAAACTCAAACCATATGGGTTTCCAATACATGGATGTATATGTGGATATAGCAGGCGGATAATCTGGTTGGAGGTTGTCAAATCAAATAATAATCCTAAGATTCCTGCCAGGTTGTTCCTTGATGCCGTTGGAAATTTAAAAGGATGTCCTCGAGTTGTAAGGTCGGACTGCGGAACAAAAAATGTTCTAATTGCTGGGATGCAGTCCTATTTCAGAGCTCATGGTAATGATGAATATGCAGGTGTGAAAGCTCATCAGTACGGGTCATCGCCATCAAACCAGCGTATTGAGGGTTGGTGGTCTTTTTTTAGAAGAAGCAATTCAACCTGGTGGATCAATATTTTTAAAGATATGAGTGATTCTGGAATTCTCGAACTTGGTAACGAGTTTCATATGCATTGTCTGTGGTTTTGCTATTCCAAAGTAATACAAAACGAACTTGACAAAGTAAAGGAGCAATGGAACAGCCATTATATTAGAAAATCTCGCCATGATACAATTCCTGGAGTGCCAGATATTTTGTATTATCTACCAGAAAACTCAGGTGCTATCGATTGTCTTGTTTGTGTTCCTCAAGATAAAATCGACGAAGTTGAACCACAATGCTATTTGGATGTAGAAGAGGACCCATACACAGATTATTTTGAACATATTATGGAAACAGAAATGTGGAACTATCCAGCAAACGCAGAAGAAGCTTTTAATCTTTTCCAAAACTTTAACAATTTACAAGAACAAGTATAATTTTAATGTAACATAACATGTATAAAGGAGCATTGGATTTTAAATCTGGCCGGGTTGTTCGTGCTAGAACCTTTGTTGTTCACAATTCCAACCAATAAAATGAGTACAAAGTTCTACAATTAATCAGATCTACAAGTTTGGAAGATGACGTAAATAAGCACGTACTATTATTGTGATGGTCAAATCATCCAAGATACTCAATGTGTGGTTTCGTCTGATCACTTCTGGAATCTAAAACATTGTCTCCGTGGTGCACCTTTTAATAATATACAGATATACTTTGTCTCATTGCATGCAGGCAAATGCCTAACTTAAATTTATAATATTATAACGGCTTCATTATATACAATATTTTAAAAAAATCAATTCGTGTTGTGCATGTGTTTCTGCAGTACTGTAAATATAACAAATATAACAATATATATAATGTACCATGCATCATAACGAGGATATTTAAAACTATTGAGCGAGAGGAGTGAGATTCGATAAGCGAATGAATGTAAATATTGTGATTTTAAAAATTTTATCATTGCAATATCTACTGCAGAAAACACAAAAACACGAAATTCAACGAACGTAAACAACATAGTACTTGGATTCCTAAACTGTGCCAGCTACACAGTACCTTAATTATGTTACAAATTGTACACACAACTCTCAAGCATTCATAGTTTCGCATTACTAACATCGTGCACCAGTAAAAGACGGAAGTAAACGTCTAACCATGAGTTTAAATCAAGCGTAATTAAATTGAGGTTTTATGTTTTAACAAAATACGAACAAATTTACCTGCCCTATAATAACCGCTTCTGATCATAACATATGACCATCTACGACTATATGAACCAATTATAAAAAAAATCAAATGCTCCAGAATTTGTCACCATTCTGAGCCATACTTGATACAGTATAGATGGATAATGCATTTAACTATCTAAATCAAATCAAACCCATACGAGTCTTGAATAGCCGAAACGATCATTTCTTTCATTGCTATTTCATCCCTGATGTGCACTGGCAGTTTCATGGTTATGTCACACGTTGATACTGTTGGTCTGCAGGCACATCCCTCTTGGCAACCATGGACAAATGCGACAGAAAACAGTTTGGGAAAGCCAAGTGGTGGTATTTCATAGGATCCTGTTAACCACTTTAAGAAATCTTTCAGCTGCAATGCCGTACCTAAACAAATTACAAAGCATAATTGTGTTTGTATATTAAAGATTAATTTAATCTATAGATTTTTGTTAAAAGTGTTTAAATACGTGACGGGAAACTCGTCTGTTCGTCTGTCAAAAACTGTCTGAATATGAATTTAAGGACGGATAAATTAGAATTTAAGACGAGTTTCCCGTCTAGATGGTTTTCCCGTCTAACTTTCCCGTCCGTTTGGACGGGTAAGTTAGACGGGAAAGTTCGGACGGGAAACTCGTCTTCCCCCAGATTCATATTAGATGAGTTTTCCGTTTAATACGAGTTTCCGGTCTAAGACGAGTTTCCCGTCCCTAATATGAATTCGGCTATTCCTAGGGCCTTTCGTCCGCGCGCGTCCTCCCTAGGCTTCGAGTGACCGAGTGAAATGGCTCTGGGATCGAGAATGATGTCAACCATAGTAATTTGTCATTTGAAGTAGTTTCATTCCTCATGACACACATCCACATTAAGCCAGCGTACTCAATCTTTGTTACCTTTTCATTATTTACGGTAATTATAAACTTTGATAAGGTAAAGGTTATTTCAGAATTTGTACTTTCGTTTGACTACCTACCTTCACTTATACTTTCAATTGCATCGCAAAAATATTTAAAAGTATCTATCTCAGCCATTTTTTTTCTTTGGGACTCACTGTATAGTGCAACCAACTGATCCAAAAATTCACTAGTTGTTATCTCAAATGAGTTACCAATGCCAAATACTGGTTGCCACATTTCTGGTGATTTCTTTATAACATCTGTCAAACCAGTTGCTTCTATTCCGTGCATAATTTGGAGGAGCGCAGGAAGAAAATCACTCAGCTGATCCTTTACACATATAGACCTGCAAAAATAATAGGGTATTGTGCCAAGAATTAATAGTATAATTAAAATATAACAATCTAATGTGGTACCGATCACAGGAAAGTTAACTGCCGTAACGTTTGATTCTCTTGACCGATTTTAATGAAATTAACACCAAAACGTTTCAAATGGCGAGCTCTATCACAGTGAGCTATTTCAGTAATGTAAACTATACGTACAAGTCAGTGACTCAGTCAATCACAGTACTGAAGGCTTTCTTAATTTGACTGAGCACCTCAGTTTTCTGTAATTAATTGTTTAAACAGGTAAAGGACCAAACACAACATGATGACTCACTGTACAATGACTTCCACACCAGATAATGTTTCTCTTTGTGGAATTCCTCTATATCCAATTTCAGAGAGGATGTCTAACATTTCTTCTTTCATTAGCAGCTCCTTTACTTCTGCATCACTTGTGGCATTGCACAACTACAAATTAAGATACAGTTATAAAAGCTTTTGAAATATATGTATTAAGGGCAGAATTTAGGTTGCTGCTTATCTCCCAACATGCATTAAGAGATCTGGCCCTCATATTCAAATTAATAAAAAACTGTCACCATTTCTGGAAGACTACAAAATGGTAAAAGTCAAATGTAACTTTGACACCCCCACCCCCTTCACAGGCAAGGTGCAAGTACTTTTAATACAATACCACACAGGGATCGATATAACGGTCAGATTAGCCGAGTAAAATGCTATTATGACCGTCTACTGATTAATCTGCACGGACATTATGGCCGTCTACTGGTTAGTTTAAACATTGCTATAGGTTGTTTAGACAAAAATACAAAATTAAAAAAATAACATCAGGATTAAGAACACCAAGACTGAAATTTGGTCAATAAAGTACCTAATATATATATATATATATATATATATATATATATATATATAAAACAACAAATTCAGCCTGGCAAATGAAAGTTGTCTTTATATAAAAAATAATGGGTACCAATTAGATATCCCTGCTAGGGTAGCCTAGATCAAATTATATAGCTGAACCTTTACAAAACAGAATTTCTCAGAAGGGATAGGACTATTAGATTTTGGAATATACACTTACATTTTCACAAGCTGATTTATAAACAGATTTCTGAATTTCTGAAGGTGAAAGTGGTTTTCCAGTAATGTAGAAGACCACTGGTGGTGCAAGGAAGTTGGGTGCTGGGCCACCTTGCATTACTGACATCATCATTACTTCACCACACAATTTAAAATCACCCCTGTTTATTGCCATTGTGGATAAAACAGGATACCCATCACGGAAGAACATGCGTTGAATAACTGTTAATAGCTCTATTAAAATAAAGTATGCATGGTACTGCATATGATGGTTTAACCAATTCATGATACCACAATATGCCTTAATGATTATGAGCCCTAGTTTCTTTATATTTGACTGTAAACACAGAAGATTTTACTTGTAAAGTAAAATGCTTTACGTCACACGTCGTTGTGTAGTGTGACTAGGCCTTTAATGGATTAATTATTTACTGTTGGGGGTGGTGGGTGACATATTGCACATGTTAAAATGACCAACCATATTTTTACAGAAATCTAGATAAAAACATGAATGAGTTTTATTTCTTTATTTCAAGCAAGTTACCTAAGCTTGTACGTATACTGTGGTCTATTCATTATGTTTAGATTAATATAAAAAATGCAGCACAAGGGTACATATTCTTGATTATTTAACAGAGCCTGAAATAGTGGTTTACCTGCCATTTTCCGAGCAAATGGTAAATTGTTCAGACGTTTCATTAAGAGAAATTTGACAAATTGGAATCAGTTATTCTTCCAAAAACCAGTAGGTCTAATCAGCTCGTGTATATATAATAGAAAGTGTTTCTTGGCATATTTTAGAACAGAATTTCAAATATTTACATAGTTGATGAATTGAGATTGTAAAATAATTTATGATAGTCAACACATATATTTGTAAATTTCAAGTTTTCTTTAAACTGAAGAAAATTTTGGTTGGAGATTTGTATGGACAAATGTTGAAATAATTTCAGGCTCTGATTTAATAATTTAATTAACTGCCATGAGGTTGACATGACTTACCACAAAATAATTCTCTCTTAGGACCACCATCATCAATAGATGGTTCGCCTACAAAAACCACTTTCAAATTAGAAAGTGGTCCAATTCTACTTTTCCTTGCAGCCTTAAAATCTTCCTATAAGAATCTTCTTCTTATGTTTATTCGTTTCACATTTGTAGATAAGCGGGTAGCACACCCGGCAATCTCCTCTTTCAACAAACGCTTGTACTGTGACTTATCTAACTCCGACACCTGCTCTGCTGGTTCTTCCATTTCTGCTGAAATTCCACATTCAGACAAATCTGCTGACTGCTCTGATTCCACTGCCCAAGGCGAACAGTTATCAGCGTGTTCTTGAATATGCTGCATGGGAAACATCAAAAAGCACATTGGGCACTGTACCTCTTTCGTTGTTGATGGTTGAGGTTGTTGTACCTGTGTATTTAACTCAGGCTCATCATCTACTTGTACCACAACTGGTGGAGGTGCATATAAACCACTAGGCAAGGTTTCAGGCATCTCTTGCTCCATACAGTAGCTCGCTGGATCAATTTCAGGATCTGAATCAGAGTCAAAGAGGTCATTAAAAATGCTAGCCATATAATCTGTACAAGAGCACAAAAATAAAGTAATTCGGCTGTACGGCTTGTCAATTTCCTCTTTATATCTTTTCAAGGAAAATGCTTCATCACAACCAGGCAGCTTATCTGCTTTTTTCTTGTCACCATAGAGGAGATAATAGAACATTTTGTCGTCGTGTCTTATAATGTCTTTATTGAAACGGTGATGTTTCTCTACTGCTTTCTTTATCAATTCATCATAGTTTATATTCGTTCGTACTGTTACTGGGAGAGTTACACCTCTTTTAACAACAAGCACATCTTCTCTTTTCGTCATAATCCCAATGTTTATTTTCACTTCGCTTGATTTCCCAGATTTATCATGTAATTTGATTCTTTTACCATCTTTCTTTTGTTTAAAATGTTTGCTTCGATCGCCCTCCTTGCGAGAACAAAATTCAGAGAAAGTGACTGGTCGTGCATTTGTCGGAGTACTCGAAGATGAAGTAGAAGGGGCGCTATTGTTATCACCATCGGCTTCTGCTCTCGAACCAGGTGCCTCTTGTTTGCTAACTCTATTTGTTGTATCACTATTTGCTTGGTTGACACTTTTACCACAACCGTGACAATACTTTGCATTAGGAATGCAAGATTTCCCACAATTAGAGCAAAACATATTTGCATAATTATATTAAACCATGTATAAAACTGTCCTTGAAACTCTCAACTTGCAAATATTATTCGACATACAAACATGGCCGATGCGAATATGAATGCGAATCCATTGAACCATAAATAAACTGGAAGGCTAACTCAGGGGGGGAAATTGAAGCCAGTGCATTTTAGTTTTTCTGAGTTATGAGCAGAAATACTCAACACTGAACGTTGGGCTATATATCAAATTGAAGCTATTGAAAAACGCTATTTGGTGTAGAAATTTCAAGATTTTAGCTAAAAGGGAAGTACTGAAAAATTACAAACATAATTACCGATAATTTGCCGTTTTGCAGTTGTTTTTGTATTTTTTAAATATTTTTCTTTTCGCTGAAGTCTTGAAATTTCCACACCGAATAGCAATTTTCAATAGCTTCAATTTGATATATAGCCCGACGTTTGGGGTCAAGTATTTCTGCTCATAACTCAGAAAAACTATTTTGGCTTCATCAAATCATAGGCCTTCATCATAGCAGTTAGCCTTCCAGTTTATTTATAGTTCAATGTGCGAATCCCGCAAAATGGCGCGAAAAACTGAGGCGAAAAATTCTCGTTTTACGGTGTTTCCACTTCATGCTTCCACTTTCAAATATAACTTGCAGCAACTTTATATTTGACTTGCAGCAACTTTATATTTAACTTGCAGCAACTTTTTATTTAACTTGCAGCAACTTTATATTTAACTTGCAGCAACTTTATATTTAACTTGCAGCAACTTTATATTTAACTTGCAGCAACTTTATATTTAACTTGCAGCAACTTTATATTTAACTTGCAGCAACTTTATATTTAACTTGCAGCAACTTTATATTTAACTTGCAGCAACTTTATATTTAACTTGCAGCAACTTTATATTTAACTTGCAGCAACTTTATATTTAACTTGCAGCAACTTCATATTTAACTTGCAGCAACTTTATATTTAACTTGCAGCAACTTTATATTTAACTTGCAGCAACTTTATTTAACTTGCAGCAACTTTATTTAACTTGCAGCAACTTTATATTTAACTTGCAGCAACTTCATATTTAACTTGCAGCAACTTTATATTTAACTTGCAGCAACTTTATATTTAACTTGCAGCAACTTCATATTTAACTTGCCGCAACTTTATATTTAACTTGCAGCAACTTTATATTTAACTTGCAGCAACTTTATATTTAACTTGCAGCAACTTTTTATTTAACTTGCAGCAACTTTATATTTAACTTGCAGCAACTTTATATTTAACTTGCAGCAACTTTATATTTAACTTGCAGCAACTTTACTTTACTTACTGCAATAATAGTATAATTACTGCAATAATAATATAATTTCTGCAACTTTAATAAAATGACTGCAATTATTTTATTTGCAGCATGTCCCCTATGGGCCACCGTAATAAATGGATTCGCAAGGTCAAATTGCACCTACACGCGTGAGTTTGACGTCATACCGGCCAACAGGAGCTTCTTATTGGCCAATTATTGCGCAATGTTCGCAAGTGCGAGTAAAACCCGATATCTTGAAAAATTCAAAATAAATATTTCTAGTCGGCGTATACATACGAAACTTTCTACACAAAAGCGCTTGAATACAAAGAGTATTTTACACATATAGCCGTTCTGCAAATGACGAAAAGTTCAAGGGATATTCAAGATTTTGTGGATATGAAATTTAGAATCTTTGGTCAAGCGGTGAGTAAATATATGATTGTTTCGGTTTGTGTAATGTTTTGACGGCACTTGACCCCCCGTTCGAAAGGTTATTTTGTGAGGATTTCAATGGTGGGTTTTATTTAAAAAGGGGGTCAATACTCGCCGAGATATTTATATTAGAACGATTGGGTCGTAATATAATGCAAATGGCTTGTGATGCAAAAGAGTTAAAAAGGGCAAAAATTGCAGTAGGATGACAAATTATATCCATGAACACCCATGCAATTGATATAAGCAAAGGCAATCAGGAGAGATTGCAAGATACCCGTCCAATTTTTGTTTAATTTAAACACAATAAAGTAAAGATTGAAATCTTATCAAAGCAGTTTAAAGTCACAGTTTAGGGATGAAATCTCAAGAATATATCGCCTTCTATCAGATACAATTAACAATTGAACAATGCATGCGTTGATTGTGAACAACGAGGCATCGTAGTAGATTAAATATTTACACCAGATGAATATAGGTGTACTTCACCTAACTAGCAAAAAATAAAATCAATGAGGCCATGAGGGAATATATTTTACGCACACGTCCGAATTTGAAAAATACGGTTTATAGCGAAGAATCGTTATATGCAATAGTATATGAGGTTTATTAAAGCAAAGGCTCTTTGACCATAGCAATGCCAATGTGAAGCCAGAACTTATACTATAGTATTATTTTACAAAATTTCACATGATTTTAATTGACATATATTGTAAATTGACAAAAGAAATCGTATCAATCAAAGTACAAATACGACATCCAAAGTATACTGCCATTTGGCACTATATAAATCGAAGTAAATACTGGTAATAAAACAGTAAAGCAGGTGTATTTGTTTAGCTTTCGCTTTCCAAGAAATTGGATCCAAGAAATTGGAAAGCACTCCAGACTTCTACTTTTGTTTTCGGTTTTGTCCAGGCTGAAATACCAGTTTACAAGTGTATAAATGAGTCCGGCGAATAATTTTTAAACCACATATACTTTATAAAATAAAAATTTCTCTTTATTTTTATAAAATAAAAATCTCCAGAGGGTTAGAATTAACTTTACATGGTATGTTATATTTTACAATATATTTATTAATGCATGGTTTTAAATTACAAAAAGGGTTACAAGTCAAAATTCAATAAGAGCAAATGATCATAAACGGAAATAAAAACATAATTGACAAAGATTGAATGCTACATGGTCAGTAATTAAATTTTTCAGTTTATGATTGCTTTGGAACGCAATTTCTGTATTTTTGAATAAATTAATCAATGACAATGGCAGGTTTCCCAAATTTCGTACGTTTAGTTGGAGTTTATTGGCTGCGGAAAATGAAAGTAGTATATTTGCGCGACATTCCAGTGATCTAAATAAGCGAGCGTTTGCTTTTGTAATGGGATTCAATTTGTTTTATACGAATGCTTTAACTTCAAACAACTTTAATGCTTCGGAGACTCTGGGAGAGTCATATCAGAACATGACCTTGTTTATGTCGGCCTTGCAACCATGCATTACTCACTAGATATTTGTTTTTAGAACAATTGAACTATACATCCAAACCGTATTTATGAAAGTTACACATTGAACAGGGGCGTGGAAACCAGGGGCACAGGGGGCACGTGCCCCCCCCCCATTTTTTCAAAAGTCGACCAAAAATGCCCTTTTTAGCGTACAAGCTAATGTCGCTGTAAATACTATATTAACATCGAAAGTGCTCTTTTGTTTGGATATTTCAATGTTTTGAAACCAATTTGGTCAAAAACGTTCATTGTACGCAACTCGGTATGGTATGACCGGAAAATTTCTCCCCCCCCCATCTTTTGATGCTTTGTACGTGCCTGAAATTCAAGATTTATAGGGAAACATTAACATAAGCTTCGGTCTTCATAAAGTCAAGTAAGGAAGGAAATATATCATATTATTGTACCATGGTATATGTACAAAGCAAGGTTTTGTCGAGGGTTTATTGGCCGATTTACTCATCGACTATTGAACTTTATGATAAATGTAAACATTATTAAAGACCATGTCAAGTCCGTTCTGCGCATCAGTTCTGCTCATAACAAAGGGGGATCCACAGATACATGCAAACATTGCCCAAATTTTGCATCTTTGCGCGAACTTTCTTGAATTGAAACGTACTCTAGTTTATATTCAGAAAGTGTTAGATATTCAGCTAGTATGTCTTATTTTACAAATGTAGCAGTGCAAAATGCAGGACCTATCAGAGAAATTCGGGGGCCCGGGGCAAAATTTTTTTCGGGGGCTGTATTTTTTCCAAAAAATGTTGGCGAGGGAGGGGGGATAAAACTTTTACCGGACATTAAAAAAAGGGTCAAAAAGTTTTTCCGGACTAACATCAGTTAAGTTAAGGTTCAAAATTTTTTTTTCCCGACATGAATTCTTGTTAAATTTAAATTACATTCGTAAAACTTTTTTTGTACCAATATCTGGCAAAATTTAGGTTTACAAATTTTTTTCTCAGACCATTAATTATTTCAAAAAACGTTCCAAATTCCTTTTTTTATTTCCTGGCACCTACTTGTGACCTAATAATGTTACATGTTTTCCTATGACAAAATCTGATTAGCTAATTTCGATTTTTGCAATCATTATGTCGTATATAAAAGCTGTGATTTTGTAGTTTTCTCTGAGACGTTTTTATCGTGGCAATTTCGTTTGCATACCTCACAAGTTTACAATCAAACGGCGTTGAGACGTACCGGGATGGTCAGTCACGGGCGAAAGCTTCGTGCAGGTCGAACAGTCGGCTATTCATTCATATACGACTATCTCCGATATGACACTCGGGGACTTCCGTCATTCGCTAAACCCAACGCTGTATATTTGTCAGGCCCGTTTTGCATGAAAGTCACGCACAATATTTAAATTAATTTACATACAATGCTAAGCGGAAAGGTATCTGCTGGGGCGGATCCAGGATTTTTGTATCTGCAAATTCTGTGCTAACGCGTTGTAACCGTACCAGTGCAGTACTCCCCCACCCCCACTTTATTTTGAAGAATATCTTGCTGACATGAAAATGCTTAAAGTATAGTTGACAATTGTCATCTAAAAACAGCTGTTCATTTAATACCTTCACATATTCGTACATTGTCTTAATGAAAATACTGAATTGTTATTTGGACCAATATATAGGAATTGACTCTAAAATTGGTCCCCTAACTTCGTTTGAAGATGGCCTCATTTTACTACCTAAATGCGGTAATTTTCCTCGTGTGTTGCTCAACAACAACTCTTGCCGAAGAAATTTCAACATCTCAGCCTAGAAACAACACTTTCAATGGAACAATTACTTCGGTCGTCTGCAAACCTCATATCAGCAAATCAGAAATCGAAGAAGTGTTGCGTTTGCAATATAATTCCACCACAAATACCGTTAAAATAAAAGTTTCTGTTGTTTCTGAAAATGAGACTCGATATCTCCCAGAAATGACGTGGCTTTGGGCGAGTGAAATTGGTCGTACCATAATTTCTTTGGTTAGGCGCGCCAAAGATACGATCTTCGCTTCACCTATCTTTACTTCGATATTAGAAATCGGAACTGAAGAAGTGGATATTCAAATCACGGAGAAAACAGATGCTTGTTTGCCACCTGGGGAAGAAGGATCGGATCGGATTTTTGACTTTCTTTTGCACCAGCTTTCACATAGTAAAGACACACCTGTTTATAAATTGTGCCGAGTCCATCAAGATGAATCGCTGTATGCAACATACAACTGTTGTCAAATAACCGGTGATAGAAACTTGGTAGTCTGTAGTGCTGATTATTTGTCTGTTGTGGTCAAATTTGCTGCTCCGGCAGTACTAGGCATATTTTTAATATCCTTTTTCATGGTTTTTCCCTTTGTGCACGAGTACATTATGACATATCCTCCAAAAATTAAGGATTATAAAACTTCTGAGAGCCATATGTCTCTTATTTCCGTTGCATCCATGATACTTTTTTAAGGACGCAGACCAGCCACTTTATTCAGACGATGTTTATTCGTAGGACTGTCATTATTACTGGTGATTCCTCGTGATTTCTTTGGGTCTCTATTGTTGAAAGTTGTATTTTGTGTATGGGCTGCGGCTTATGTCCTATCGTTCTATGTGCAAATGACGCCCAGAAGATGTCCGAGGGAAGACGCTAGGCCGAAGTGGGATGAGTACATAATCTCCTATTTGACAATTCCATTCAAACTTCCTTTTTCCTACATCAAAAGAAGAGACAAACGGTGCGAGGAGTGTTCGTGCTGCAAGGGTTCGTGCTGCAATGGTTCGCGCTGCAATAATTCGTGCTGCAGGGGTTCGTGCTGCGGAGGTTCGTGCTCTCAATGCTCTAAATGCTCCAAGGATATGTTGTGTACATGTTGCCAGAGTTCGTTCCGCGAATATCTAAAGCATTTGTTTTATGGTATTGGTATTTGCATTTTGATAATCCTTTATTTTTTAGTTTGTTTTCCATTTCTTATGATTTTGTTTTTGACAAAATTTATTTTATTTGACTTATTAATGTCCTTTTTTCCCCGACATTGTTGTCCATTAAAACCAAAGTTAAGCTACTTGCTAATTCCTATAAAAATTCTAACTTTATTCAATATCGTCTTTTTCACGGGTATGATTCTTATTTTCGCTCTTTTCACAGTTGTTGGTTTGACTCTTAACGCTGAATATTTTAGTCCTTTTTTGCCCCCATCTTTACTCTTTTGGTGTACTTTTTGAAAAATTGGAAGTTTTCTGTAGAAGCAAAATATTTGCAACTTAAAACGTTAATTATCAAAGTTTGCAAGAAGAAAACCCCTCCCACAGAAGATGAAAATATCTCAGCGAACTCCATTACAAATATAAATGCCAAAAATAACAATGAATCGACCATGTTTGGTCGTGTTTGTGATATTCTATGCCCATGCATACGAGATACCAGTAAAGATCCACACACATGGAGGAGTTTAAAAAACCTGTGCTCGTGCTGCACGAAATCCACTTTGGCCTACAAGAAATATTCTCTCTGTGAAAATATAGAAATAGAAACTATTCATCCCAATGAGCCTTCAACATCAGGGAACGGTGACAACGCAGACTCGGAGTTAGCCAATATCAATGAGAGCGGTAAAGAAGATGACAAACTCGTTATCGAATTTGACGAATTAAATGGCGAGGCAAAAATATCGAAAGAACTTTACGAAAAAGTCAGCGAAATAATTCTTCCTATGGACCACCTTCTGTTTTATTTCTTCAGAAGAGTCATTTTCGTTGGTTTGTACGCTTTCGTGATGTTTACCGTCATGATTCTAGCGCGGGAATCAGGCATTTCTGGTAGTGTGCAGGTAATGAGTGCTATTGCAGGCGGCCTGATACCCTTTCTTTTTGACACAAGTTTGGACGACAGCAGTTTATCAGAAAAGATGTCCAGGATTATGGCAACAAAGGAAAAACTTGAACATATCTTAAAAGTTAAAAAACGTGAAAACAACAGAATTTTTGTAGAGTTGATTAATATTAACGACGGTGAAATTATCGAAGATCCCGTTGGCGTTGATTCTTAATTTCCATCATATTTTGAGAACTTGAGAGCCATGCAAAGCTATAAAGCCAAGTTTCCATCAGTGAGCTCTATATGCAGCTAAATCAGTTAAGGTTGTCCTTTCAAAGTCAAAACTTAAACCCGCAAAATCTCGACCTCTAAGTGCGTAAAGCACGATGGATATTATGTAACTGATAGTAGAGTTACGCAGTTGCTACGTTAGTTGCTACGCAGTTGTTACGCAGTTGCTACATTCCCGTTGGTTTTCACCTTTCTCGAATTTTATTTCCTCGTCTAATCCAATTCAATAGCAAATCTGGCAGCATTCATTGGATTTTTAATTTTTTTAATGTCAATTCAATGAAGGTTGTTTGTGTGACTGATGTGCACGCTTGACTCCTTTGAGAATTAAATTCACTTGATTAGCGTAAATGTGCTAACACGTATGTATAAACATTTTCATAATAATAATGCTTTTCGCGCTTAGAGGACAACGTTTTGCGGTTTTCTCTGAACAACCTTAACTGACTTAGTTAGCTGTATATGTAAAGCTAAGAACTTCAGTCATTCGAAAGAAAAGTATAGCCATTATGATTTCACCTCGAATAGATATGAGGGTCGCATAAAGTGTTAAGGCCTTTTCCATTAATCGCAAGCTCGATGCGAGTACTTTCACACAATCACAATGCTCGACAGTCTATTTTTAACTATATGCAAGCACTCGCGGCGAGTTGGTTTTTGCGACAAATGGAACAGAACCTTAATTCATTCATTAAATCGATGGCAAAATGCGAAATTTTGACACACTCCTTGACAGCTTTATATTAACCGTGCAGATAAAAACAGTAGAAAGGGACTGGAACTGGCATCCAATACTCTACAATTTCCGCCATCTTGGATTCTTGGTTTTACTTTTTCGACTCAAGTTCTCGCTCCAGTATGTATAGAGCTCATTGATTTCCGTTTGATTGGACGAGTCCAGGCCTCTCAGTTTTAAGGAAATTTCCTTAAACTGAGAAAATTATCAGTTTTTAAGGAGACTTTTAAGGAAATATATAATTTTTAAGGAATTTTTAGTTTTTATCTAATATTTGAAAATTGATTGAAATAATATTTAAATATTCAGTCAATTTAGCTCTATTTATGCAAAAATACTTTTTAAAAACGCAGGAAATGCAGTCTTATGCATTCAGGACTTGCAAAAATTTTTCGAAGGAAGATATTCCTTGACCAACCATGTGAAATCCATGCTGCTCAAAATCCCAATTCCCGAATGAGACAAAAATTCTGGGAACTTAACTTTGTAATTCTCAATCATTCAGGCCATAAATTACCAAAAAACATGCCTGCCCCACGTTTAAGGAAATTTTACTAAATCTGAGGAACTTTTTACCGAGACAATGGGAAATTTTTACCAGGCCATGGGAAATGAGAGCCGACTGGACGCGTCTGTCGTGGCTAAATCGTAATCCCCAATGTAAAGAAAAAGTCGATATGTCATCTTGCCGTTTTTGGGTGCTGCATGCCAATTAGTCCAGTGGCGAGCTAGCCATGACAAGTGGTCATGCTATACTAATAAACTCGCACCTAAGTATAGGTTAAAGACAATAGATAAATTTAGCGAACGTTGTTCACATCGTCGCTAGCCAATTCACAACTTTAGATCACTCACAAGTTAACTGGGCATGTGAGTAATCTCTAGAATTGTGAATTGGGGAACCAAACGTTAGCCAAACTTGTCTGCACATTTCTAAAGGTTTGAATTCAAATGCAAATCATTAAAAATTTGCATGCATGACCTGTTGCTATGGCTATCTTCTACTGCATTGAATCAGTCTATATACTGTTTGCCAAGATATATTGGCCACCTTGAAGCAACCAATTGGGCTTCAGCCTTCAACATTTAACATTTTATCTAATATTTAGTATTTTTAAAATAATATTGCAATAATTATTACAATCTATATAAAACTTTTGACATATAAGAGCTTTTAGTTGCACCTGTTTGGTGGATGTTCAATTACCTAGACGTCAAATGTAGTTCACTGATTTATTAGCTGTGATTATGTAATCTTTGATTGAAATATATAATTGATCATATAAAATAAATTAAAAATGTATAATGTTGTATTGTATTGCGAGATGAAATGTCACCTCGTCTCACTTTAATTAGTTCTTGCAGGATTGGTGTGACATGATCGTATTTGCCAACTCCACTAACTATTCGACAAGCGGAAGTCTGCACTGCCTGTTAAGAAGTGTTGCTCCAGACAGTAGAGCATAATATAATTTTGAAAAACTAGAGAGTTAATAATTATTGTTAATGTATGTTTGTCAAAGCAATGTTTCACGCGGTTTATTTGACCTAAACGAGACATATAATCTTGATTCAATTTTTCCCAGATGTCGTATTTTAAATGCGAAAGGGAGCAAACTAATGAATCGTAAGTTCTCAATATGGCAGTTAAGTTTGAGTGTTTAGTTTGTTGCATGGTTTCTGCATTGCCCTGCCCAACAAATGAATATATTGCTAATTTAGTGAATATGTATAGTTCATTTTGGAAGTCCAAATTTCTGTTTTATCATTGTCGGGAATCAGTTAACATTTGACACAAACACGGGAAAACATTAGTCAGTGATCAGACCCACATTTCAAATATAACCTGTGCATTTCCATACTCCACGCCCTGTTGCGCCTGATTGCAGGCTAGCAAAAGATAAAGCGGTAACAACGCGAGTCATTTTCTGCCTTTGAATTCAATCTATTTACTAATTTAGCCTAATTAGCTCAGCAATAAAAATTGTATTAATTAACCACATAAAAAAATACTATAGGCGGTAATTAATAAGGCAATACGAATCATGCAATAAAATTTAACTAGCCTGCCTAAAACTTGCTCACAATCACTCGTAGCATTTTAAAAGCCAAAATACAGTCAAAAAAGTATTTCACAGTTCTTTGGTAAGTCCCATTACGCCGGCTTATAAGCCTGTGTGCAGTACCAGTTCACTCATTCGCATCCGACAGAAGGACAAAATCGCAGACAAAATGCTTGTTTGAACAATCTATGATCTTTGAGGATATTATTATACACTGCAATTACCTGATTGGCTATATGGCTGTATTGACTGCTTGCTAGCAGATATGTGTATGTTGAGCCCGCGATATGTAATTTGATAACTAGCCGTTTCTTAAAATACAAGAATAATAACAAGAAAACAATTTTGTTTTGAATGCAACGATATTCTTTGAAAGCACTTGTGCAGAAAACACCCAAGAGATTTTTTCGTTGCTAACATGCAACGTATTCTAATAATGCTTGCAAGGCCGGCGAGAGCCAACTACGGGCCCCGGGACAAAATAACGATTGGTTAACACGGGCCCCCTGTCCCTCTCGGCTCTATCTCGGCTCTCTCGCTGGCTATTTTTAATCGCAATCAACGAGAGAATTCAGTGCCAGCGAATTACTTGCACGAAATCGCCGCATAACTGATAAAAACGCAATGTGAACGATGTTCAGCTAACTTTTTGCTGAGAAAACGATCGAAAAATCGTTTATTTCACATTTGGTACGTTTTACGATCGATGACAACTATCAGCGGATAGTGTGCAAGTAGGCGTATTTCATTTAGGACAAACATAAAGCGATCATAAACAATACGAACATTTTACCGAGATTTCCGGGCTCTTCTGAGCACTCCGGGTCCCGGGTATTCTGCCCCCCTGCCCCCCTCTCGCCGGCCTTGAATGCTTGTGATGTTACTCTGAGTGTATATCCACGCCGGGCAAGAGCCACATCACAAGCATCATATTCACCTGAGTACATTACACTAACACAGAAAAAAATTCATATTCTAATAATGCAATTGCATGTTTATTGATTCGGAAACGCTGCTTTAAAAAAATAGATCATGATATAACTTAGACCGCATTCTCTTGAACATTGTATAAACTTCTTTTTTAGAAACGTTTTTCCAAGAAGTGTGACTAGAATTCGCCGCTTGTAAAGATGACTTTGTTTGCCAAAGTATTCATATTAATACCGCTTCTAATTGCGTGTTTGCCAGAAATCTCCGAATCGGCTGACTCAGAGGTTTCCAGAAACGATGAGATTGGATCCATCGCAAAAAGGGTTGCGACAAACTCGAGCAACACTTCGACTGCTTGCCATTTTCACATTTTAGAATCATTACTTAAAAGTGTCTTAAAATTAATGCAAAATACCAAAACGAATGCAATAAAACTAAATGTCTGGATTGAATCGGTCAATGATACTATATGATTCCCATGAATGAAACTCGACTCCCAACGGACATGCAATGGGCAAACGAAATGGGTCGTACATTATACTCGTTAATGCTTCAAACAAGAAACCTACAGACTCTGATTTCATTTCTGCCACAATTTACATTGAAGAGAGGGTTTCATGATGTGAACATTGTTGTCTCTGAAGAAAACGAAAGGTGTTTGTTGTCGGAAAACAATACATTGAATCATGTCATTTTCGATCTCCTTCTGCATCAGCTTTATCGTGTCAGTGATGATAACACCGATTATCAGTTGTGTCGCACTCACAACCTCGCAGTAAATTGTTGTGGGATATTTGGAGATAAACAAATACGAATCTGCTCTAGCTATTCGTCATTTGTGGCACATTTTTATCCCATTATTACAGTTACAGGTTTTTCCTTTTATTTAGCGTTCCCTTTAATGGTAGACTATTTAACTCAGTCTAAGGAAAGTGACCACTACGTGATTTCCGGTAGTCCAATGGCACTTTCGCACATATTTCATATGATATTTATTGAAGGGCATGGTCCAGTAAAGTCTTTTGCAAGGAAACTGTTCATTGTAACTTTTGTAGTTGTGACATGTTTACCTATACGGAATATTGGTCTAACTATATGTACTTTACTCTGGTATATCTTCCTAGGTGTATGGACGTTTCCTTTTATGATTTTCGATATATTCAGCAATCGCGTATTTCGACGTTCTGATTTGGCTATGAATGGCTTTGGAAATTCCGCATTAGAGGTTATTACTTATCCATTTACATTACCATTATTGTGGTGGAAGGCCAGTCAGGAATGGACAAGTTTCAAAAATAACTTAAAGTTAAATTTAAATAGAGAGTCAACTGAAAGGAAAGAGCGTATTGGATTACCAAATAGAGAGTCAACTGAAGTGACAGAGCGTACTGGATTATTAAATAGAGAGTCAACTGAATTGACAGACAGTACTGTGCTAATAAATTCACAGGAACAGCAATATGGAAACGAGTTTCAAAATGATGTTGAATATTCTCCACAACATCACTCGAAAACAATCGGATGTTCAGTAGTTGAAATATGCAAGTACCCTATATCTATTTTTATTTTAATCCTTTTCTATCTTGTAATCGCTTTCCCGTTATCATGTGTTCTTGCGTTATTGTATTTCTTTAAATGTATTTGGATATTTTATAAACTAAAAAATTCGCTAAAACGGTGTACAGAAGTAACAAATGCAATCCGTTTTATTTATGGCGTCTCTGTCTTCGGGCTACTCATGCACGTATTCTTCCATGTACTTCTTTGATTCTACGTTGTTATTTACCATTGGTCTGTTTCTGAACGGAGAAACATACATTAATTATTTTTTGCCACTTTCTACCATCTTGTTTTATTCGTGGACTAATTGGAAGTCTTCTGTCGAAACAAAATACTTGGTACTAATTACGAACATTTACGAAGTTTGCAAAGAAAGTACACCTGTTCAACATGCACTCGCTAACTCTGGAGGGGAAAGAAATGAAAGCGCTAACGATGCTGAAACTCAGCCTCATGTTATAAAATTAAATAGTGATGGAGAACCAATTATTCCCAAACAACTGTATGATAAAGTCAGGAAAACGTTCCTGCCGTACCATCGAGTTCTGTTTTACTATTTTCAGGGAATATTCTTTGTTACAGTCTTCGCCTACTTTTTATACACAATGATGTCATTGTCCGAGAAATCCGGTATCACAAGCAGTGTTCAAATAATCGGTTCTATGGCCGCCACTACATTACCGATTATTTTCGACTTCGTTTGGAAAAAGAATAGCGACGAACAAAAAGCGGCGAACGCCATTGCCTTGAAGTCAAAACTGAAACGAGTTTTGAAAGTTTACAGTTTCCAATGAAACTAGTGGGGAAATTAAAGTGGAGGTAATTGAATAACAGAATGATGACACTGAGTCTTCAAAAAATAACATCAGTTATGAAAATGGAAGGAGTCAGTGTACTTCCATGGAGGTTTACTTGACTGATTTTTAGTCTTGAAATGCTTAATTATAACAGTACATAATTTGTGGTGGCGCAAAAAATTTCCCGACAAAGGAGCTAAGGTCCCCGACAGGGGGCTAAGATTGTACAGGCAAAAACCTTTTCCGGGAGGGGGGGGGGGAGGAAGGGAAAGGCACGCTTCCTCAATTTTTTTTTTGAATTTTGAGTCTGTGAAACGGTGTATCCAATCCACCATCTTGAGGATATCATGCATACGCTAGAATACAAATGTCTTCAACAGTCTGTTTAACAATCTTTTCCCCGACAAAATACTAATTTTTCCTTGACAGGGGGAAGGGGGTGGGGGCTAGCCTCCCCGACAAGTTGCTGTACCCCCTGCCCCCTCTTACGCCACCCTATAGATATAATTGTTTCTGATACTAAGAATAGATTGAATTTATAAAATTATATGTAAATGAATAATTATTTAGAATTTAGTATATACAAATGAACATAGTGTTTGTTATGAAATAGAATAACTGCGTAAGTTATAAAAGTAAATTGCATGTTTTAATGATTCAGTAGACTTTAGGGTTTGGCATGATTGTATTGCTAATTGAACATATCTTGAAAGTTGATAAACATGAAAACAACACAATTTTTGTGAAATTGATTAACATTAATAAAAGCTAGTGCATATTGTTTGTTTCTTGTTTCGTCTCAGAGTCTTCCAATTTGTGCTCGAAGCCTGTACGTCAGTCTTACTGTCACTGACAGAGGCTCTGCTATCTTGAACTGCATCCAAAAGTGATGGCGCC